GAGATGAAAATATGTTCTGAAGCTGTCTGATTTTAAAAATTAAAATTAGCAACTGATTGAAGCGACCTGGAAGTTTGGAATATTAAAATAACTCACTGTGAGAGACATTATCAAGGCAAAGAGCAAAAGAGAAAGTCAAGCCATAGTTAATTTATTGTGCAACTTTGAAGTTTGATTCGAGCATCGCCTGCAAAATAGATGGGGATATATGTGTAACTAACGCAAACAGGGATGGTTAAAGAAGTAAGGATTCAGTATTTTGATTTTTTTTTTTCCTCTTTTTTTTCCTAATGGAGAAGCTTCAAAGGCTCCAGCAGCACCTAATGCTAAATATGTGATTCTTACCCCATGTCTCTTTACAGTTTCCTCCCTAAGAGCCATCTCTTTTGCATAACCTTCTGAAACCAAGAGGACAGACTTAAAAAAAATCACCAAAAAAAAAAAGTCATCTCTGAAACTTTGTAGAATACTTGATTTGAGGGTTGGGTTTTGTGGGGGTTTTGGAGCACCATAAGTGGATAAAATATCCTAAATTAGCATTATTTACTAGATATCAGCATGCATATAAATGATATATACAAAATCTGTATTTCTTTTTTTTTTTATTTTGTGTTTTAACTTTCCAGAGTGCCCAGTTCTACAAAGTTACCACGGAGCAATACCAAAAAGCTGCTGATGAAGTGTCAGCTCGGTTCAAGTAAGTCTTTTCTACTATTGTTTTTGAGCCTGGCAGCTAGGCGAGTTCTTATCCACATTAAAATTCACAAGAATTCCCCTTCCCCCTATCGCAGATCCTATCAGTCTGTGCTGGTTATTGAAATGAGAGAATTTTGAAGAATTTGGAAGCCAGTGCATAGTAACCATAAGCTGCATAGAAATCGGATGCACAGTTAGTAATGTACTAATTAATTTCTATTTGATAAGATGCATGAAATACTCTAAAAATATATTCCTTAACATTTTTTCTCTAATGGAGCACCAAAAATGTAGGTCCGACTTTGCATGACAATAGTATTCCTCCTGTGCTTGCGTGATGTGAAAGGATTTAAATTAGCAAATTCACTTTGCCCTTAACAGTGAAGGTCAAATTAAATAATTTTTATTAGTCCTGAGGATGGTTAAATGAAGATATAGTAATTGATGGATCAAAGTGACTCTGACCCTTAGCCTTAGACTCTTCCCTTTCTGCTGGTTCATCCATTAGGCAGAAGGTTCCATTTATCATTTTAGGAAGGATACAGAGAGAACTTTTCACAACCTTTTACTCTCAGCAGTAACCAAGAAACGCTGTATAAAATGAATTATTCCGTGACAATTTTTAGATTTGTGGAGGGATTTTCTTTTGTGCTTTGTTTTGTATTTTGATGAGCAGGAAGAGAAAAGGCCATTTTGAGCTGTTGATAGTGATGTAAATAAAGTTCTTAACTGTAAGATAAAAATCATTTTATCTCTTAATATCATGAATTGTTAAATATTCTCTAGTGTATATATAAAGTCTTTGTACTGGTTAATGGTGCAGAGTACATTGAGGACTGAATTCATCCGTCCCTTACGCAAGAGGGACAGGATGACCGTTGACTCAAGGTCTGATTTCAGAATAATTTGGAGGGTTTGCCATTATGGATTATTCATTGTAATTTTTTTCATCTGTGATAAGATTCCCATCAAGGGGAGATCTCTCCTTCCTCTGTTACCGTGGGGTATTTTCAGGTTTTGAAATCTAATTATTGCCTAATCTCACTTTCATTATTCCAAAACAAAATTTCTTGTGATTTGAAATACTAGTTGATAGCTGTAGGTGGTTATTGTGGCCAGAGGTGGGAAATGGCTTTGGGTTTATTCCCTCTAATATATAAATGATTTCCTAAGTAAATCAAATGCTTTTGGATTTCTTTTTGCACAAATGGAGCTGGGAGATATAGCAGGAGCCAGTCCTTAGCATCAGGCAGCGTCTCAGAATTTTAAGCAAACTATTTGGAAGGATGTTTCAGTCTATCCGCGTAACCCAAAGAGTATTTACTGAAGAGGGATTTGGAGAGGGAATCAGAGATTCCTAATACTTGATGAGATTGTTCTTTTCTTAATTTTCTAGAGACTAAAGGTATAAATAGAACTCACCTACTTGACTATTCTTCACTGTAATGCCATTACTGAAATTGCTGTGCTCCTTTTGCACTTCAGGCCAAATTTCCTGAAAAATTATTTGCAGATTTTCATTAGTGGATCCAGCTTTGGTCCATTGCCTTAAAAAAACAAAAGCAAAACATTACGAAGAGAAAAAGTTATCTGAAGTATGCACATAAATTGGGGTAGATTTGATAAAGTGCATGAAATATCAATATTACTTTATAATTTAAAAGTTTTCCTTATATAAAATCCTTTTAAATGCCATGTCTTTTTATTGACGGTTTAAACTCAGCAGATGTTATTTTATCACTGCCTTTTGTATGTAACTCGATGGATAAATTATGAATGATTTAGTGAAACCTAAAGATGATGCTCTTTTGGTGTCACCAGGCACTTCTCATGTTCAGTTTAATTGCATGTGAGGATTGAGGACAGAGTTTCAAGCAACGGTGTTTAAAGAGCTTGTTTAATTGGCTGTAAAAAGAAGAATTAAATAAGGTTGAACTGCTAAATTTTGTTAATGCATAAACCGATGTGCTGCGTGTCAGTGTGATTTCAGGTTCTAAGTGCGAGATTAAGAGATCTAATTGTGGTATTATTATGAAATAGTCTCACTTTATTTAAGACATGTCTAGAATCAGTTACGAAGTTTTATTGAAATAACTTGCATTTCTTCAACTCTTTAAGCTACATCTCTGTCAAGAGCAAAGAGAAGTGGATAATTACTTTAATATTTCCTGGATTTTCCTTTTCCTTCCTCCATTTAGTCCCTGAAATTACATCAGCTGGGGCTTCATCAGTCTTTAGGGATAATTCACCCCATTAAAAGGGAAAAACCAAATACCCCATATAGACTTGTATCAGAGAACTGGCAGGTCTTCTGTACTTTGTCTGCAGTCCATATGGATGCCTGCTTATTACCTTCTCCAGCGCTGCCTGGAGTAGACTGATATTCCAAATGTTCACGATAAATGTTTTATCTCCGTGAGGTCCTGATTCACATCGATCAAATTCTGAATTATCAAATGGTTCATCTCTTTAAGACACTAATTCACATTGATCAAATCCTAAATGACCAGGTTCAGTCAGTTCCTGCAGTACACAAATTACATTAAAACAACATTACTGGAGCATGCTGCCTTTTCTAATGTAGGAGTTATGTTACCCGCAGTTACATTATAACCAGAATTATTATATTATGAAGATGTCTCTGTTATAATGAGAAGTTTACACAAGAAGAAAAGAATGCGATATTACAGGAAGAGCCAGGCTTTGGGCAAAGATTTGAACTTTAACTAATCAAATTGTACATTTGTATTGTGGGTTTTTTTTCCTTAATTTGAAGGGCTGGTAGCGGGAAATTTGGCAGCTGCGGTGGTGACATTTTATTCCCCCGTGGTGTCTAGAGCCAAGTAACATCTTGATTATTCATTTAGGAGTAGAGTAAGCGGATAGGGCAAATTCTGCCTAAAATAAATGTTTTTACTTTATCTTCTGTGGGTTTTGATTCTTTCTGGTAGATAACAGACTTCAGAGCTGTGCGCTAGTGCTTTTTCCAAAATATTTTGCCGTTCCTCTCCTGCTCCACTGCTTTCTTGTAGACAACATGGAGTTGCTTCTTGCTGCTGGTTTCTTGGCAAAACCGTAGTCCTCAGCCGGTCGAACTGTTAGGAACTCCAGGTCCTCTTTGGGCATCGGCTGTTTTGGTGGTGTTTGTGCAAAGGATGAGGTTTTCCCCAGTATCTCAATGTATCACTTCAGTGTCACTTCTAAACTCCGGTGTCTGCAACGAAGCCAAATTCTGGATCTTGTGCATCACGTCATGACGCAGGGTTTGTATGTGTTTGTGTGTTGATAGACTCCTGGATGAGATTGTCCAGCAGTAACAGATTTAATGATGGAGGATTCTTTGCATCATCTGGAAGTTCGGGTGTTTATTCTGAATTACAGATTTTGATGGCTTTATTCCCTTACTATGGGACTTTTGATCACGAACCTTGCCATCAGGAGGAATGTCTCTCGGGAACTGGAGGAGCTCGTTTGATTAAACACAGAAAGGTTTAGGATTTGCTCAGGCTGCTTCACACAGTATGATCTTCCCGCATTTGAGATGCTTTAAAAACAGTTTTACAAACCAAATCAATACGTTTCACGTGATCCTCTGTCAATTCCGTTGCTCTGATGGCTGATGGAGGTGAGGGCTCGGCGATAGCCAGGCAACAGGCTATTACAACCCTGAAAATCTGTTCACGA